AAAAAAACTGGCTGCGTCTCAAATGCGCCCCTTCAACATCCACATATACCTGGCAAAGGTACATACGGGGGTATTGCTGTACATAGCTGAGCAACATATGAAGTATTATACAGTCATAGCACACATAAGATTTGCAAAATATGCTGTGCAAATTCACTTTGTATGTCAAAAAGGCAGAAAAAATGCTTATTACCACTACACTTGGTACAAGCTAGCGGAAAAATTATCCCACGCTAAGGTTCAAAATATGCCTTTTGAAATATCCTGGGATGTCTTCTTTAAGAAATGGTATGGCTTTATGGGGTATTTGGATTATATAGCCTGGTAAAATACTCTAAAATGGGACATAGGCACAGCATAAAAATTCAAAGTTTGAAAAAAACTGGAATGGCTGTGTCCCAAATGTGCCCCTCCGATGTCCACACATACCTGGCAAAGGTACATACGGGGGTATTGCTGTACTCAGCCGACATAGCTGAGCAACATATGAAGTATTATACAGTCGTAGCACACATAAGGTTTGCAAAATATACTGTGCAAACTCACTTTGTATGTCAAAAAGGCAGAAAAAATGCTTATTACCACTACATCTGGTACAAGCTAGCGGAAAAATGATCCCACGCTAAGGTTCAAAATATACCTTTTGAAACACCCTGGGGTGTCTACTTTAAGAAATGGTAGGCCTTTGTGGGGTAGTTTGAATTTAAAACCTGCGAAGATGCTTGGAAATTGCACATAGGCCCAGCGTCAAAATTCAAAGTTTGGTAAAAACAGATATGGCTTGGTCTCCTATATGGCACTGTAGCTTCACGAAATAGTGCCAAAGACATTCATTGGGGGTGTCTTTTTACTCAGAAGACTTAGCTGAGCATAATTTGGGAGGTTTGAACTTAGTGGCACATATGAAATATACAAAACGCCCAGCAAAAATGCAATCCGTATGTAAAAAATGCACAAAATTATTTTTTACCATATAGTTTGGCATATATTGGTAAAAAAATGGGGGTATGTTAATGCACAATATGCACCTTATGAGATACCCTGGAGTGTCTACTTTTACAAATGATTGGCCTTTGTGGTTTTTTTTTGAACAGTCAAACTGTTATAATACCCCAAATGGAAGCTAAGGCTCATTAAATCCATCTCTCAAAATTCTACTGTGAATACTGAAAAGGACAGGTCTCCTATATGGCACTGTAGCTTCACGAAATAGTGCTAAAGACATACAATGGGGGTGTGCTTTTACTCAGAAGACTTAGCTGAGCATAATGTGGGAGGTTTGAACTTAGTGGCACATATGAAATATACAAAACGCCCAGCAAAAATGCAATCCATATGTAAAAAATGCACAAAATTATTTACCACATACTTTGGCATATATTGGTGAAAAAATGGGGGTATGTTAATGCACAATATGCACCTTATGAGATACCCTGGAGTGTCTACTTTTACAAATGATAGGCCTTTGTGTTTTTTTTTTGAACAGTCAAACTGTTATAATACCCCAAATGGAAGCTAAGGCTCATTAAATCCATCTCTCAAAATTCTACTGTGAATACTGAAAAGGACAGGTCTCCTATATGGCACTGTAGCTTCACGAAATAGTGCTAAAGACATACAATGGGGGTGTGCTTTTACTCAGAAGACTTAGCTGAGCATAATGTGGGAGGTTTGAACTTAGTGGCACATATAAAATATACAAAACGCCCAGCAAAAATGCAATCCATATGTAAAAAATGCACAAAATTATTTACCACATACTTTGGCATATATTGGTGAAAAAATGGGGGCATGTTAAGGCACAAGATGCACCTTATGAGATACCCTTGAGTGTCTACTTTTACAAATGGTAGGCCTATGTGGGTTTTTTTTGAAGCTAAGGCTCATTAAATCCATCTCTCAAAATTCTACTGTGAATACTGAAAAGGACAGGTATCCTGTATGGCACTGTAACTTCACGAAATAGTGCCAAAGACATACAATGCGGGTGTCATTTTACTCAGCAGATGTAGCTGAACACAAAATAAAACTTAGTAAAGGAATAGCACACACCAACTTTACAAAATATACACGAGAATTTCTGTTATAAGTTTGTGTGCCTAAAGCCAAAAAAAACAAAATTTTACTCCAATATTTAGAGGTTGGCGGTGAAATGGCTACGTAGAAAGTGTCAAAACAACCTTAGGTAAATAGCCCGTGATGTCTACTTTATATAAATATATACTTTTGTGTGGCAATTTTGTTTTCTTTTATGGCTATTAATCTTACAATACAAACATACCAAATTCTAAGATCCTCCACATTAAAAGTCTATTTTACTCCTTGTGTTTTCTGACCTGTAACTACCAAAAAAATCTTAAAATCCCAGACACATTATATATTCTGTAAATCAGAACAACTAAATTAATTTATTTTTAATTACTTTTCTTAACCTGCACTAATTATGCACACATTATTATTGCAAAAACTGTAAAAAAAACACACAAAATTTTCATTTTTGTTTACATTTTTCTGTATTTTTTATAATAAATAAGCATTTATATATATGTGTGTTACATCAAATTAAAGCCCTTTCTGTCCTTTAAAAAACGATGTATAATATGTGTTGGTGCAACAAATCAGTAAGATGCAAATTGCAGTTGAACGCAAACAGCAAAAAATGAAAAAAATGCTGTTGTCATTAAGTGAAAGACAAGCTTTTGAAGCTCTGTCCTTAAGGGGTTAAATGTATGCAAGTTTTCAATTTAAATACCTCTACTAAACAGTTATTTTTGTGAGTGCATTTGAGCATAGATCAAATGCTGCTCATAGAGAAGCATTTGATTGGTGCAGCATGGTTTGCTATGCATGCGCACTAATCTCCTAATGCTTCCTAGTGGGGACATAATGGATTTGCTGAGATCATCAACAATGATCTCACCCAATAGGTGTAGTGGCAACGAGGAGAGCATCACAGCACGGGCTGAATGGTAAGCAATACTTACCTTTCAAACCCTTACAAAATGGGGGAACATCTGCATAGGGAGTAGTACATGATAGTGTTCTGAATACATGCTTGTATTCCTTAAAGTTATAGTGTTCCTTTAACAGAACCTGAAATTTTGCTGTTCATGACATTAAGGCATAATGCACATTTGCAAGGGGATTGAATGCTGGATCATCTTTTTTTGCTGACTGTGACACTTAAGGTTGACAAAGCATTTTAGCAATGGTAGTGCTACAAAACCTAGAGATTTACTTTTTGAATACTGTTTTCAATTAGAAATATTCTTTTTTTTTTCACTCCCCAGCAAAATATAGTGCATACAAATAGAGGACATGTCCTCCATTCAGTATCTACCACTGAGTGCAGTGGGACATAAACATTGAAGAGACACACTTGTAATGTATAGCTGTAATACCATATAAAGTGAAGTAAATCTCATGGTAAGGCACACATTCATATCATAGCAGGTCTGTGCAATGAAGACCATTGGAGCAGTCAATTGCACAATATATTTTTTGCACAAAGTCACCAATATTAGAAAGAAAACCACTCTACATTCAGGGTGACTAGACTTATCCTCTAACCGGTGACAGGTGATTAATGAATATAACACAACTGTCCTGCAGCCAATACACCTTTTGTAATGCATACATGTATTTGTCTGAAGGGAGCTCTGCACGCATTAGTTTAAAAGGTATGGCCGATTATCAAATAAGAATGTTACGAATGTTTCTCTTTTACATTAGAATTCCATATAGAGATGCATCTTGTCTGATGCTGGAGAAAGTTTTGTACTGAATTACAATCTTGTTTTAGTGCAGTGATCTAGGGTTCTTTGCAAGCACCAGTGTTTGTCCTTCAAAGGTCTCCATGAGATTGTAAAAAAAATTACTGATTTATACTTTAGAAAATGAAACTATTATAAATGAAAGAAAATGTTTGACATGCAGTAACTTGAGAATGAAGAGGTATAAGCTGTTTTAACAGCAATTTGTTGAAGGATGGATTACAACATTTAGGAAAAATATAAATAAAAAATAGTCCATTGGAAAAAAGCTTCCCAAAATCCTGCTTTATTATTTTGTTTTGAAACTTGCAATTTGGTATCAACAAATTAGTATTATTATTTTTTATTTTTTTATTCTTTATTTTTGCAGTGCATAGCATAACAAACAAGTTTGTGGAGACATTGCATAAAAGTATGTGTGACAATAAAAGATTAGGATTGGAGCATGAAATGTCAAGATAGCTCTGCACTTTTTTTTTTTTTATTTATCATAAATGGAAAAACCAGAACATTACAAGCACAATTCTATCAAATAGTCTGAGAGACAAACAAACATGCTATAACATAGAACTGTAGATAGCTACTTTCAAGAGGTTGTACCACAGGCTTAGTGAATTCAACCAATATAGAGACTCAGTTAGGGCCTTATAACAAAGTGATGAATAATTACTTATAACCTACATAAAAGTATGCTGTGTTAGGGTTTGACATTGGCCTTCAGCCTGTTAGATGGGACTTAAACAACTTGGATATAGTGTCATAGGGCACTAACTGTTGAGGTGTAGTAAAATCAAAACTTCTAGGCCTATGTAAGTACAGCCTATCTCATATATTTTGAAACCTAAGCTAGCATAAACCTGAAGATCTTACGTGCTGTGTATGGGACTACTCAGCCGATACCGCGGATGGGAGACTATTGAAAAAGGAATTTGAGAGTCCAGCATTCCGTGGAGGGGATCCATGAGGCCAGCATTCACCAACCACAGGAACAGTATCTCATATTCACCATGATGTCCACATTCTGCTCCGCCATGTGGTAACCCCTCCACAGAGTGGATGGTTCTTGCAGTGTTTGCCTCTTCCAGAGGGACACTGTGGTGGAGTACAATGAATAGTAGGTTGCAGGTATACATTAACTGTGACCTCCGCTGCCCTCTCTTCAACGCTCATATGAGGCGGTTAGGTGCCAGCTGTGTCAGACGCCTGGGCCTTCCTCTCCACAAAGTCTCATGATTGCCACATGTGCGAGGTGTAATTGCAACTTTTGGTGGTGATTTTCCTGTGAGGAATTTGCTTCTCCCTGCGATGCTGCCACTCACCATTCCCTGGTAGATTTACTGACTGCGATGGCTTAATAAGTTCCAACAGGTTCTTCCAAAAGCGTTCAAAAACTGCCTCTATGTTAGGCATAAGTTGGTACCGCAAGTCACTGGGGTCTGCCTGGGAATGCATCCTGCCCAAAATTGCTGAAGCGGGTTCGTCCGCCATAGTGTACATCGTCACTTCTCGATAGCCAGCAGTGGGTAAACCTCCATGGGACAAATGATCATGGTGACACAGTCCAGTGGGGCCTGGGATAACACCCACCAGGGGGACGAAATCCAAACTTTAGGTGAGTCATTAGCAAAGCAGGAGATCGGCTGTGTCTCCCGTTGAGACCAAGGGATAGGCCAGAAAGGACATTGCTCTTGCAATGTGACCCAAAGGACACTAGAACTTCGGTCCCAATATTGCCCAGGTACTCTCCTCGTAGTGTAAGCTTGTCCACTTGTAAAATGTAGAAAAATATACTCTGAGGAGCATTAAAGCTGGTTGAGGTCGAAGAGCTCCTTAGATTAACCTGTTAAAGACCACCAATGAAATAATTATTTCATGACAAAGCAGCCTTTAAAACACATACATGGAACAATGATAATTAACAATAACAGGTCTGCATAGATGTGTAAGTGCTAAATAATTAGAATGTTTCATGCTAACATAGGGTCTTTAGGGACCATGGTAGGAGGATTTCATAAAATACAATTGGTCCTTAAAGGAACACTATGGCTTTAAGGATATAGAACTATATTTCTATATTGTCTTTCTACCAATAACTAAAGGTCCCCACCACTTAGCTCTTTGCAGCATTGAAGTCCCTTGCTGCTGGATCGTTCTCCTCCTCCAACAACATCATGTCAATGCACATGCTTGGAGAGTGTGGCACACACATTAGAGCTTCCACATTGGAAAGCATTGAATCAATGCTTTCCTAAGGGATTTAAAAAAAATGTTGTTTCATGGTGCTAAACTTCATTAGAATCCAGTAAGTTGAGTCTCATTGTCTGGAAGACAGCCTCTAGAATCAGTCTGAACCCTACAATGTAAACATTGCAGCATGTCTGAAACTGCAATGTTTTACTTTGCAGGGTTAAGGGGACAGGGACACTGCACCCAGACTACTTCAATGAGATGGAGTGGTCTGGGTGCCTGTAGTGTCTCTTTAAAGTGTAAATAAATAAAATCAGTAGTTAAGCATCCTACTTACTAATATTGTGACTATGCTTGTGCATATTATATTATAATATACATTTTTTTTTTATAGTCAATGGTAAGATACGTCTTTGAGAATAAAAATGTTCCCAGAAGCCAGAAGTTTTTTTTTTTATTAGAGATACTGTTCACAACTAAAAGTGAACAAGAAACAACATGCACTGAGTTAACCCTGTTATAACCTATTTATTTATACCTTCTGAGAAACATAGAGAACAAAATAGTAAATTTAGCACACAGACAGATTTAAAGTTTTTCTTTTTCAAAAGGATAAATAGCAGCAAAGCTTTTTACACATCCTTTCTGTAAGTAGACAGAGCTTTAATTCATTCTGTGTAGTCTGGTTTAGCTGATGGGATAAAGAAACGCTGGATGAGTTTGCCAGGAAGGCTCTAAAGGCATTCTGAATTTACAGATTACTATTGTGCTATTGTCATTCAAGTCCTTGACAAAGTATTCCACAGGATGCATTAACAGACTTGCTGTTAGACAAATTAAAATATTGCAGCAATACATAGCTGCCCTCTTAATATCTCTTATGAATTTTGGAACACTTGAAACCATTGTAATGAGAAATTATACCTCAGACAGCTTATTGATGAGGTGTACAAAAAACTATGAAAACAAAGTACATTGATGAATAGCTGCAGCAATCACAAGCAACTTTAGGAACATTTGGTTAACTTAAGCGAATGAGAAACAATTTTTTTCCACCTTTGTGCTAGAACTTTGAGGCAAAACCTGACATATCCAGTAAAAGTTCAGTATACCTAAAATGAACCAGATTCAGAACAGAATGTTAATTGCAGAGGCATTGTACACCGTTACTTGTAAGTCATTGTTCATTGACGATAAGCAAAGTGAATGGCTAATCAAAACATGCTGCCTGAAGGAATTTAAAGTCTCAAATGTTAGTTCAGCAATCAGTAATTTATTGTTAAGCAAATGTAGTTGTACATTTAAATAGGGCCATAGGGATAAACAGATAATGCACATTAAGCAAACATATAAAAGAGAAGAGAATATATTAGATTGTGATTTTCTCTGCTCTCACAATGCCAGTTGTAGTGGAGCTCCCTGTACCCCAGCTGGGTACCTCAGCCAAGGATCGCTTCCTAGCTAGCACCGGGGAAAACCTCAGCGCTTCGGCCCCAGTCGCCATGGCTTGACTGGGGTCTTCCTGGAGTCTCTCTGTCCTGGAACAGGATAGCTCTTTTCCCACCCAGGGACTGGACGACACACAGTCCTGTGAGCCGTTGTCTTTACAAGGGCTTTTCTCGCTGAATCCTCCATGGGCTGGAACAAGGTGTTGAGCAGTGATTAGCCCTTTCCCCTCCCAGTAACTAGACAACACATAGTGCTGGGAGTACAACTGATTTTAAGGAGCCAAACTTGGCCTTTTATGCACAGACCTCAGCATGGGGTCTCCATTGTATTTAACACAAGCTCCTTCCAGGAATCTCTGGGCCTGGGAGATAATTTAGTTAAAGACCGGTAAGCTAATTATCTCCCAGGAACTGAAAGCCAAATTCAAAACATAAAAACATAGTGCTTTTGCCGATCAACTTTCGGGAGCTCCTGCGTCTGAAACACGGGGTGCTCCATCTGGCTCTCGGGTATTGTTTGTTCCCCTTAGTCTCATGCAATGTAGCAGAATGAACCTTGGACTGTTACCCTTAATTCTGTTATGGGCTGTCTGTATCTTGTCCCCCCTGTTATTTCCTAGGTTTCCTCACATATTAACAACGTCTTGTTTGACAACTGAACAAATTACCAAATGCCAAATCACCCATATGTGGAGTGTGCCTCTCGTTAACCCCAGTAACCTCTGTTCACAGCTCCACCAACTGCAAGAACCTGAACATTCCAAGCGGTCGGCTGGGTGGTCGCCGTTCATTTGTGCGAACACGTGGCAGTGGCCATCTTAAGCCACAAACAGAGACAGCGGTGTTTGGTCGTTGAGTGTATGGAACTAAAAATCGGACACTCGATGGCGTGAACACTGCTGGAACATTCAGTTACGTTCATGGGGATTCTGACTAACAGAGTGGCATTCGGGTGGAGCAAACTCCCGAACAAGATACACAGAAAGAATGTCTGCATGAACAGTTCATGCCTTGTTGTTCGCATATTTGATGCTCCCGAAAGAGACCAACTGCACAGCCTGATTTCATGGAACCTTTTTGGGCAGGCACCTCTTGTGCGGTTGGTCTAAACTATACCCCGGTGGCGTTTCGGCTGTGTTCGTGGGATCTGAGCTCTTTTCGGATATGTTGGGCACTCAGACCCAGGCTATCCGGAGATATAAGACTTAAGGGGTTATCTTGTGGGGAACTGCACGTTTTGGGGTGATTATTATTATACATGTTCTGGACCTGAGAGTTAATGTAATTATGTTGTGTACTTTGTCTCAGTCTACTCTCAGGTTTTCTGTGAACCGCAAGTTCACCAAATGCCAAAAATCTTTTCATAACATTTGCAACAAAGTACCGCTGAGGTGACCGGGGACCCACAAAGTACTAATGCTGTAATAAGTTTCAAAGCGGTCGCAGCTAAGTACAGCTGAGGACTATTTGTGTTTTTGTTCATGTGAACGACTGCCAGGGAGCTAGCGATAGGTGAGAAGGAAAAGTGTCGAATCATGGGCATGCAGGCAAAGCTGATAATGGCGACTGGGCAGGGTAACTCCTAAAGTTGTCTCAGACCTAGACCATAGTTGGTGGCCAGGAACCCAGCTTCCATACTCCTCCAGGGGTTTATGGCAAATGTTCATGGGAAGGAGAGTTTGTCCCACCATTGTCTGGTATTTGGTTAACCACATGGCAGAAAAATCTTATAATTTCAAAGGCAAGTTTAAGTCTGCACACAAAAACAAACAAACAAACAAACAAACAAACAAACCATTAATAAAATATGGAAATTTGCAGTGGGAAAGTGTTAAAACATAAACTATAAGCCAAAACTCTAGCCATTTATCTATATGTTTGTGATAATATATCTTTTGTGTCAGTTTTCAGTCAAATGTTAAATATAGTTATTTGAAAAAGTTGAGAAGATATCATATCAAGTCATACAGTGTCAAGTATTAGGGGAAAAAAATTCATCCAACTTTAAAAAAAAATCAGATAAAGCCATCATTATCTGATGTCTAAAATGTCCTTCATGATGATTTAAAAATAAATATAAATAAAAAACTATTCTTGAGAAAACTGCCCCATTGGAAGGCACCTATATGGGGTGTAGGAAAATAGGGGATAGAAACTATAAAAAATATCACATAGACTTACTTTTTAATGGTTGGAAAATTCATCCAATCTCCAGCATTAACTTGTGTTCTTCACTGTTTATATGAAGTCCCCCTGTAAGGGTTAAATGAGCAGTTAAACTCACCTTATTTCCCCAGATGCAATTGTCTCTGTACTCCAGCTCTACCTACCTGGCTGAGATCATCAATCTTAATCTTGTCAATTCCAATGCTGCAGCAATGTATCTCTATGGGGAGCATCCAGCATCTTCATGCAGAATTTGGAGATGCTGAATGTAGGTCCTTTAAAGATTGCAGGACGTATGTCCAGTAAGTCCTTCTAGTGGTTAGAGTGACAGTCCTTCTAGTGGTTAGAGTGACAGTCAATAGAGGTGTATTTAGGCAGCATTTACAAAGCTGAGGTTCCAGGGGCAGGCTATATTAAACTGTTGAACTAATATTTACAAAGTCACCCAGCTGATTAAGGGTGCTAGAGGGACTGGACATAGTAATCTGATATTCTGTGATTTTAGAATTGTTTATTCCAAGAGCCTCTTTCCCATACATTAATTTATTCATTTGGCCATTACTGGGTCATATTACTAATTTTTTTTTTTAACAGTTCAGGCATAGTTTACAATCATACTTATTTCTAGTGATACCAAATCACATCAGCAATGGGTGACTTAAAAGGCAGAAAACAGTCAGCTAAAAC